TCACATGTGTCCCCATGAGCACAAATCACATGCGCCCCCATGAGCACAACTCACATGCGGCCCCATGAGCACAACTCACATGCGCCCCCATGAGCACAACTCACATGCGGCCCCATGAGCACAACTCACATGCGCCCCCATGAGCCCAACTCACATGCGGCCCCATGAGCACAACTCACATGTGTCCCCATGAGCACAACTCACATGCGGCCCCATGAGCACAACTCACATGCGGCCCCATGAGCACAACTCACATGCGCCCCCATGAGCACAACTCACATGCGCCCCCATGAGCACAACTCACATGCGGCCCCATGAGCACAACTCACATGCGGCCCCATGAGCACAACTCACATGCGGCCCCATGAGCACAACTCACATGCGCCCCCATGAGCCCAACTCACATGCGGCCCCATGAGCACAACTCACATGTGTCCCCATGAGCACAACTCACATGCGCCCCCATGAGCACAACTCACATGCGCCCCCATGAGCACAACTCACATGCGGCCCCATGAGCACAACTCACATGTGTCCCCATGAGCACAACTCACATGTGTCCCCATGAGCCCAACTCACATGCGGCCCCATGAGCACAACTTACATGCGGCCCCATGAGCACAACTCACATGCGGCCCCATGAGCACAACTCACATGCGGCCCCATGAGCACAACTCACATGTGTCCCCATGAGCACAACTCACATGCGCCCCCATGAGCACAACTCACATGCGCCCCCATGAGCACAACTCACATGCGGCCCCATGAGCACAACTCACATGTGTCCCCATGACCACAACTCACATGTGTCCCCATGAGCACAACTCACATGCGCCCCCATGAGCACAACTCACATGCGCCCCCATGAGCACAACTCACATGTGTCCCCATGAGCACAACTCACATGTGTCCCCATGAGCCCAACTCACATGCGGCCCCATGAGCACAACTCACATGCGGCCCCATGAGCACAACTCACATGCGCCCCCATGAGCACAACTCACATGCGCCCCCATGAGCACAACTCACATGCGGCCCCATGAGCACAACTCACATGTGTCCCCATGAGCACAACTTACATGCGGCCCCATGACCACAACTCACATGTGTCCCCATGAGCACAACTCACATGCGCCCCCATGAGCACAACTCACATGCGCCCCCATGAGCACAACTCACATGCGGCCCCATGAGCACAACTCACATGTGTCCCCATGAGCACAACTCACATGTGTCCCCATGAGCACAACTCACATGCGGCCCCATGAGCACAACTCACATGCGGCCCCATGAGCACAACTCACATGCGCCCCCATGAGCACAACTCACATGCGGCCCCATGAGCACAACTCACATGTGTCCCCATGACCACAACTCACATGTGTCCCCATGAGCACAACTCACATGCGCCCCCATGAGCACAACTCACATGCGCCCCCATGAGCACAACTCACATGCGGCCCCATGAGCACAACTCACATGTGTCCCCATGAGCACAACTCACATGTGTCCCCATGAGCCCAACTCACATGCGGCCCCATGAGCACAACTCACATGCGGCCCCATGAGCACAACTCACATGCGGCCCCATGAGCACAACTCAAATGCGGCCCCATGAGCACAACTCACATGCGGCCCCATGAGCACAACTCACATGCGGCCCCATGAGCACAACTCACATGCGGCCCCATGAGCACAACTCACATGCGGCCCCATGAGCCCAACTCACATGCGGCCCCATGAGCACAACTCACATGCGGCCCCATGAGCACAACTCACATGCGCCCCCATGAGCACAACTCACATGCGGCCCCATGAGCACAACTCACATGTGTCCCCATGAGCACAACTCACATGCGCCCCCATGAGCCCAACTCACATGTGTCCCCATGAGCACAACTCACATGCGCCCCCATGAGCACAACTCACATGCGCTCCCATGAGCACAACTCACATGCGCCCCCATGAGCACAACTCACATGCGCCCCCATGAGCACAACTCACATGCGCCCCCATGAGCACAACTCACATGCGCCCCCATGAGCACAACTCACATGTGTCCCCATGAGCACAACTCACATGCGGCCCCATGAGCACAACTCACATGCGCCCCCATGAGCACAACTCACATGCGGCCCCATGAGCACAACTCACATGCGCCCCCATGAGCCCAACTCACATGCGGCCCCAGGAGCACAACTCACATGTGTCCCCATGAGCACAACTCACATGCGGCCCCATCAGCACAACTCACATGCGGCCCCATGACCACAACTCACATGTGTCCCCATGAGCACAACTCACATGCGCCCCCATGAGCACAACTCACATGCGCCCCCATGAGCACAACTCACATGCGCCCCCATGAGCACAACTCACATGTGTCCCCATGAGCACAACTCACATGCGGCCCCATCAGCACAACTCACATGCGGCCCCATGACCACAACTCACATGTGTCCCCATGAGCACAACTCACATGCGCCCCCATGAGCACAACTCACATGCGCCCCCATGAGCACAACTCACATGCGCCCCCATGAGCACAACTCACATGCGGCCCCATGACCACAACTCACATGTGTCCCCATGAGCACAGCTCACATGCGGCCTCATGAGCACAACTCACATGCGGCCCCATGAGCACAACTCACATGTGTCCCCATGAGCACAACTCACATGCGCCCCCATGAGCACAACTCACATGCGCCCCCATGAGCACAACTCACATGCGCCCCCATGAGCACAACTCACATGTGTCCCCATGAGCACAACTCACATGTGTCCCCATGAGCCCAACTCACATGCGGCCCCATGAGCACAACTCACATGCGGCCCCATGAGCACAACTCACATGCGCCCCCATGAGCACAACTCACATGTGTCCCCATGAGCACAACTCACATGTGTCCCCATGAGCCCAACTCACATGCGGCCCCATGAGCACAACTCACATGTGTCCCCATGAGCCCAACTCACATGCGCCCCCATGAGCACAACTCACATGCGGCCCCATGAGCACAACTCACATGTGTCCCCATGAGCACAACTCACATGCGGCCCCATGAGCACAACTCACATGCGCCCCCATGAGCACAACTCACATGCGGCCCCATGAGCACAACTCAAATGTGTCCCCATGAGCACAACTCACATGTGTCCCCATGAGCACAAATCACATGCGCCCCCATGAGCACAACTCACATGCGCCCCCATGAGCACAACTCACATGCGGCCCCATGAGCACAACTCACATGCGCCCCCATGAGCACAACTCACATGTGTCCCCATGAGCACAACTCACATGTGTCCCCATGAGCCCAACTCACATGCGCCCCCATGAGCACAACTCACATGCGGCCCCATGAGCACAACTCACATGCGGCCCCATGAGCACAACTCACATGCGGCCCCATGAGCACAACTCAAATGTGTCCCCATGAGCACAAATCACATGCGCCCCCATGAGCACAAATCACATGCGCCCCCATGAGCACAACTCACATGCGCCCCCATGAGCACAACTCACATGTGCCCCCATGAGCACAACTCACATGCGGCCCCATGAGCACAACTCACATGCGCCCCCATGAGCACAACTCACATGTGTCCCCATGAGCACAACTCACATGTGTCCCCATGAGCCCAACTCACATGCGCCCCCATGAGCACAACTCACATGCGGCCCCATGAGCACAACTCACATGCGGCCCCATGAGCACAACTCACATGCGGCCCCATGAGCACAACTCAAATGTGTCCCCATGAGCACAAATCACATGCGCCCCCATGAGCACAAATCACATGCGCCCCCATGAGCACAACTCACATGCGCCCCCATGAGCACAACTCACATGTGTCCCCATGAGCACAACTCACATGTGTCCCCATGAGCCCAACTCACATGTGTCCCCATGAGCCCAACTCACATGCGCCCCCATGAGCACAACTCACATGCGGCCCCATGAGCACAACTCACATGCGGCCCCATGAGCACAACTCACATGCGCCCCCATGAGCACAAATCACATGCGCCCCCATGAGCACAAATCACATGCGCCCCCATGAGCACAACTCACATGCGGCCCCATGAGCACAACTCACATGCGCCCCCATGAGCACAACTCACATGCGGCCCCATGAGCACAACTCACATGCGGCCCCATGAGCACAACTCAAATGTGTCCCCATGAGCACAACTCAAATGTGTCCCCATGAGCACAAATCACATGCGCCCCCATGAGCACAAATCACATGCGCCCCCATGAGCACAACTCACATGCGCCCCCATGAGCACAACTCACATGCGGCCCCATGAGCACAACTCACATGCGCCCCCATGAGCACAACTCACATGCGCCCGCATGAGCACAACTCACATGCGGCCCCATGAGCACAACTCACATGCGGCCCCATGAGCACAACTCAAATGTGTCCCCATGAGCACAAATCACATGCGCCCCCATGAGCACAAATCACATGCGCCCCCATGAGCACAACTCACATGCGGCCCCATGAGCACAACTCACATGCGCCCCCATGAGCACAACTCAAATGTGTCCCCATGAGCACAAATCACATGCGCCCCCATGAGCACAACTCACATGTGTCCCCATGAGCACAACTCACATGCGCCCCCATGAGCACAACTCACATGCGCCCCCATGAGCACAACTCACATGTGCCCCCATGAGCACAACTCACATGCGCCCCCATGAGCACAACTCACATGTGTCCCCATGAGCACAACTCACATGTGCCCCCATGAGCACAACTCACATGCGCCCCCATGAGCACAACTCACATGCGCCCCCATGAGCACAACTCACATGCGGCCCCATGAGCACAACTCACATGCGCCCCCATGAGCACAACTCACATGCGCCCCCATGAGCCCAACTCACATGTGTCCCCATGAGCACAACTCACATGCGCCCCCATGAGCACAACTCACATGCGGCCCCATGAGCACAACTCACATGCGCCCCCATGAGCACAACTCACATGCGCCCCCATGAGCACAACTCACATGCGCCCCCATGTGTGTGCGGGCGAGGGCGACGATGAGGTCGGTAGAGGGCGACCCCAGCCCGCACGCCGTGTAGCTCCCATGGCTCTGCTCCCCCACCGCACGGCGCACAGGGGGCAGGGGGGGGAGCGGAGTGAGCAAGGGGTAAAAGACGGCAAGGTGTGAAAAGTGCCATGAGCAGGGACTTGATGGTGCCGGGGCAGTGGGATGCGGAGGCAGTGGGATGCAGAGGCAGTGGGATGAGGGGGCAGTGGGATGAGGGGGCAGTGGGATGAGGGGGCAGTGGGATGAGGGGGCAAGATGGGAGAGTTGAGGGGAGAGCGGTGATTCTAGAGGATGTGGCATGTGGCGAGGGCCCACAGAGGGGCAACAGAAATTGGTGCAGGGAAGCAGTTATGGGGGCGTACCTGCATCATCAGCTCCCCCAGCAATGCCATCTGCTCACGCCTCCCTCCGCCTGATACAGCGCCCCCATCCCCTTCCATCCCCTCATCCCCTTGGCCCTCTTCAACTTCCCCCTCACCCTCTTTCCCCCCCTCCTCTTTCCCCCCCTCCTCATCCCCCACGCCTGTGAGCAGCAGGGAGCGGAAGCAGCGCGTGCGGAAGTGGTCCATGACGGGGTGGCGTGTGGCGGGCAGCACGGGGTAGAGCAGATCAGCAGCCACCGTGGTGGCGGGGTCGCCATGGGAGGGGTGGCGGGCGAGGAAGGTGCTGCCGTGCATGGTGGCGGGCAGTATGGGCTCCAGTAGGGGCACGCTGGCATGGGCGGGCAGGGGTGGGAGCAGGAATGCGGGTTCAGATGACAGGGAAGAAGGGGGAGGGGTGGTGGGAGTTGGGAATGGAAGAGTGTGGGAAGAGGACGCGTGGAGGGTGGCAGTGGGGGTGAGGGAGGGTGGAAGAAGTGGGTGAGGTGAGTGAGGGCATGAGGCAGGTTGTGCGATGGCCTGATAGATGAGGTGCGGTGTGCAGAGCACCTGAATAGTCACATGGTTAACCACCTGCCCGACCACCTGCCCGACCACCTGCCCGACCACCTTCCCGACCACCTGCCCGACCACCTTCCCGACCACCTGAGCAATCACCTGTGCGGGTCCAGTTCACACAGGCATGACAGAGGGTGTGGTGCTGTTGGTGTGGCGGCATGCAGTGCTGCAGTGGCGCTCTCCTGCTGCCATGTGGGCATGCGGTGCGGCGCACACATGCACGCTCATGCCCACACACATGCACAACCACACAGCCACATGCACGCACGCACCCACGCATGCACACTCACACGCACACACGCGCACGTACGTACGGACACACATGGAGAAGGGAGCAGGGGGTCAATGGCAGAACGCACGTGGGCTGCTTGGGTCATAAGAGGGCGAGCAGAGCCATGAGCATCCGGGACGCCATGCCTGCCTGCATCCCCTGAGCCCCGCCTGTCAACCGCCCCGACTCACGCATGGAGTTGCCTTGCCATGCCCTGCCGTGGGTGCACACGGGCGCGCTGGCGACGCGGGAGCACAGAGGCGATGCAGGCATAGTGGAAGGGCAGGAGGGCAGCAGCCGACCAAGCCTAGCACAGCACCGCACAGCACAGCACAGCACACTCACATTATCCTCACAGCCCTCTAGCGGCGTTAATGAGCGTGAGTCCCATGAACGCCGCTGCCCTCACCCCGCCGTAACCCGCCGCCCCCACGCTGTGCCGCGCACCCGAGTCGATGCCCCACAGCGCCACGTGGGGGGGCAGCGCCAGGCAGCCCTGCACGCTGGCTGGGCGGCACAGCAGCGCGAGCAGCGAGGCGGGGCGAGCGAGGGTGACGGCCATCTGATCCATGATGCCGCAGGGGGCGCCCACCACGCTGTTCTCCACCTAGTGTGGGGGGAGGGGGGGTAGGGGGTTGGTGGGAGGATGCATGGCGAGTGGATATGTCAGGGGACGCGCAGGCAAAAGGGCCTGGAGAAAGAGAAGGATCGGATGGGCGAGTGGGGAGTGTGCGGTGAACAGTATTCGTGGTTAGGGGAGTGGTGGTGTGAGCAAACTTGTGTGTGTGGAAGATGCTGGTGCAGTGAGAGGGGGAAGGGCCAAGCAGAGTGCAGCAGGAGAAACAGAGAGGCATGGCATGGCATGGCAGGGGGCGTACGATCTGGCACATGCGTGCGAGGTGCCAGGGGGGCACGTGCATGCCCAGAGCATGCACAAGAGCCATCATGGTCGCCACCTCCACCGCTGCTGATGACGCCACTCCCACCCCCTCCGGTACATCCGATGCCACCACCACCGCCACCCCCTCCACCCTCCCCAACGCCCCACCCCCGCCCCCGCCCTCCCCCCCTTCCCCCTGCCCCTGCCTCGGCTCCCCGCCCATCCATGCCTGGCGGAACTCCGCCTCTCTCTCCCTCGCCAGCACCACCAGCGCCCCCGCCACATAAGCCGCCCACCGCGTCCCCCCCGCCCCTTCCCCTCCCCCTCCCCCTCCCCCCTTCTCTGCTGGCTCCTCTCTCGCATCATCCCCTGCGCCACCCTCTCTGCCCTCTGCGCCCTCCCCTCCGCCTTCCTCCCCCGACTCTCTCGCCTCTGCTACCCCGTCCTTCCCCCCACTGCCCGTGCCTGCCCCCCCTGCCAGCAGAGCGTGGGCGGAGGCATAGTCGAGGGAGCAGGGGGCGGAGTGGGGGGGAGAGGCGCAGAGGCCGGGCAGCAGGCGGGCGAGGGGCAGGGCGACGGAGGGCTGGCGGTGGTTGGCAGCGGCACTGAGGGACACCATGCGCAGCCAGGGGGGGCGCGCAGGGGATGTGGGGGAGGCGGTGGGGGGCGCGCGGATGACCTGAATGGCCACGTGGCACGCCTCTGCTGTTGGCATCTGGTGGGGGGAGAGGGGAGGGAAGAACGATTGAGACACAGGAGAGGCAAGGTTAAGAGTGGCAACAAAAACAGAGAGGCGGCAATGCCTGAAACAATTGCCCGCCGGATGCCGGATTCGCCTTGCAGCAGGAGCTGAAGGAGAGGAAAGGGAGAAGCTGGGGCCCACCTGAGGCCCACCTGAGGCGCACCTGAGGTCCACCTGAGGTCCACCTGAGGCGCACCTGAGGCGCACCTGAAGCACGAGCGAGCCGGAGTAGTCAGCAATGTCGCCCATCACATCCAGGCGGCCGGGCGCTCTCGTTACCACCAGCGGTTTCGACCAATCAAAGAGCTCCGCCGCCAGCGCCAGCTCGTGGCGCTCGCTGTCGTCACATGCCGTGGCGCCGCCAGGCGGGGGAACTGGCCGGCGTGGGCGGGGAGTGGGGGGAAGAAGGAAGAATGGGGGGGAGTGGGGGGAAGGGGCGGAGAGAGCGCAAGGGGAGGGAAGGCACGAATGAAGCCACAGGCGCAGCGAGGGGAAGGGAGGGCGGCGGTGGGAAGGGGAGCGCGAGAAGAGGCGACTGGAGTGAGGAGGTCGAGCAGATGCATGGCGGTCACTCGTCCGCAGCACAAGCGCGGCACTCAGCGCGCACGACAGTCTACGCCATCTGCGGAGATGGCAGGCGCGCTGCCAGGGGGGGATTCTCCCCTCCCTTCTCCACCCACACCGCAGCGACGAGCCACGCACCGCCGGCTCGGAGCGAGTCGAGCAGCGCGAGGAAGCGCTTCGTGTCGGGCAGGCCGCGGTCGTCGCCCTCCACGCGCATGGCGCCGCGCGGCATCCCCGTGATGCGTGACGGGAGCGCACGAATCGCGCTGTCGTACGCGCCTAACCCGCACTTGGTGCAAGGTGGCGGTTAGCGGCTAGCTGCTGCAGGTTGGCGGATGATGGTGCGGGGCGAGCAAGTGAGGGTGGTGGCAATGCTACTCGCCCCTCGTGCACACTCGCGTTGAAGGTTGTCCTGTCATGTCGCATTCCGACATTGGCAGCGAAAGGTAGACATGATGCACATACTGCATGAGGGCGTCTTCGTTTGGGTGTATTGTCCGAAACATGTTGACCTCTATTTTCTGTACAACCCTGTCCCTCCACCCAATGTAAAAAGGAATTTCATCGCTTGAGTGAGATTAAAAGCTTTTGCAACAAAGGCTGACATTAGGCGCAGGCATGAGTGACACTCAACAGCGTGACATGGCCAAATGGCTTGTGAGAGTGTCCTAGTATGGTGCAGAGGCATGGCAGCTAGGAGACAGATAGCGTTGCTCGTGCCTCATCTCCAACGCTCCTTCTCATCACGGACTCACAGCCCAGTCCCGTCTGAGTGGCCCCATCTTATGGTCGCACAGAGGTGAAGTGGCTGGGCGACAGCACGGCAAGCTGTACACGAGGTAGTGGTGGTCACGTGCGTGTGCGACCGGGTGGGTGGGCAGTGGGTGTGAGTGGGCAGCAGGGAGTGGCGCAGAGGGCATGCACTAGCAGGTGGGCTCGCCACCCAGCAGCACTGCAAGCTTTACAGGGAGGGAGGTGGTTGCTCTGCATGCATTCGCCCTGGGTGGTGGGCGTGAGTGGGCACTGGGAAGGCGCATGAAAGGGTCGCTGTAGGCAGGGGAGCACATGAGGGGTGTGCCGCCCTACTATACTATCTGCGGCGCATTGCGGGTTTCTCTCCCGTGGATAGCGGTTCATTGCCATGGCGGCTCACAGGCTGTCGTCTGACGCCGCTGCTGTGCCCTTCTGCGCCTTCTCTCGCTGCTCCTTCTCCTTCTCCCGCCTCTCCTTTTCTTTCTCCCGTCTCTCCTTCTCCTTCCTTCTCTTCTCTTCTCGCTTCCGCTTCTCCTCCTCCTTTTTCCTCTTCTCCTCCTCTTTCTGCTTCTCCTTTTCCGTCTCATCCCCACCACCACCATCCCCACTATTACTGCTCGCACCACTGCTGCTATCACGGAACCCCATGAACCGCTGCATGCTTACCACAGCACGGCACCACCACTTGCTTCGGTCACACGCCATCACCCGCATTTGCATCCCCTCCCCTCCACTCCCCCCACTCCCCCCATCGGCCCCCCCATCACCCCCACCATCGCCCCCAGCGCCCTGCTGCAGGAGAAATTGAGCGACAGCAGCACGCACAAACACGCCTGCCTCGTTCTGGAGCAGCGAGTTGACGAAGGAGTCGATGGCGGCGGGCGGCACGGGCACGGGGGTGAGGGCGGCAGCGATGGCCACCATGTCCTGCTGCAGTGCTGTGAGCGCCGCACTGCCGTTGTATGCGTACGGCACTGCACTGGCACCCAGGGATGTCACTGGGGGCAGGGTCCCTGCCGCACACACAGGCACATGCACAGGGAGAGAGGGCAGATGCGAGTGGTGTGAGAGGCATGGGATGCGGTGTGGCAGTGGGGAGCATGGGATGGGTGCGGCAGTGGGGAGCATGGGATGGGTGTGGCAGTGGGGAGCATGGGATGGGTGTGGCAGTGGGGAGCATGGGATGGGTGTGGCAGTGGGGAGCATGGGATGGGTGTGGCAGTGGGGAGCATGGGATGGGTGTGGCAGTGGGGAGCATGGGATGGGTGTGGCAGTGGGGAGCATGGGATGGGTGTGGCAGTGGGGAGCATGGGATGGGTGTGGCAGTGGGGAGCATGGGATGGGTGTGGCAGTGGGGAGCATGGGATGGGTGTGGCAGTGGGGAGCATGGGATGGGTGTGGCAGTGGGGAGCATGGGATGGGTGTGGCAGTGGGGAGCATGGGATGGGTGTGGCAGTGGGGAGCATGGGATGGGTGTGGCAGTGGGGAGCATGGGATGGGTGTGGCAGTGGGGAGCATGGGATGGGTGTGGCAGTGGGGAGCATGGGATGGGTGTGGCAGTGGGGAGCATGGGATGGGTGTGGCAGTGGGGAGCATGGGATGGGTGTGGCAGTGGGGAGCATGGGATGGGTGTGGCAGTGGGGAGCATGGGATGGGTGTGGCAGTGGGGAGCATGGGATGGGTGTGGCAGTGGGGAGCATGGGATGGGTGTGGCAGTGGGGAGCATGGGATGGGTGTGGCAGTGGGGAGCATGGGATGGGTGTGGCAGTGGGGAGCATGGGATGGGTGTGGCAGTGGGGAGCATGGGATGGGTGTGGCAGTGGGGAGCATGGGATGGGTGTGGCAGTGGGGAGCATGGGATGGGTGTGGCAGTGGGGAGCATGGGATGGGTGTGGCAGTGGGGAGCATGGGATGGGTGTGGCAGTGGGGAGCATGGGATGGGTGTGGCAGTGGGGAGCATGGGATGGGTGTGGCAGTGGGGAGCATGGGATGGGTGTGGCAGTGGGGAGCATGGGATGGGTGTGGCAGTGGGGAGCATGGGATGGGTGTGGCAGTGGGGAGCATGGGATGGGTGTGGCAGTGGGGAGCATGGGATGGGTGTGGCAGTGGGGAGCATGGGATGGGTGTGGCAGTGGGGAGCATGGGATGGGTGTGGCAGTGGGGAGCATGGGATGGGTGTGGCAGTGGGGAGCATGGGATGGGTGTGGCAGTGGGGAGCATGGGATGGGTGTGGCAGTGGGGAGCATGGGATGGGTGTGGCAGTGGGGAGCATGGGATGGGTGTGGCAGTGGGGAGCATGGGATGGGTGTGGCAGTGGGGAGCATGGGATGGGTGTGGCAGTGGGGAGCATGGGATGGGTGTGGCAGTGGGGAGCATGGGATGGGTGTGGCAGTGGGGAGCATGGGATGGGTGTGGCAGTGGGGAGCATGGGATGGGTGTGGCAGTGGGGAGCATGGGATGGGTGTGGCAGTGGGGAGCATGGGATGGGTGTGGCAGTGGGGAGCATGGGATGGGTGTGGCAGTGGGGAGCATGGGATGGGTGTGGCAGTGGGGAGCATGGGATGGGTGTGGCAGTGGGGAGCATGGGATGGGTGTGGCAGTGGGGAGCATGGGATGGGTGTGGCAGTGGGGAGCATGGGATGGGTGTGGCAGTGGGGAGCATGGGATGGGTGTGGCAGTGGGGAGCATGGGATGGGTGTGGCAGTGGGGAGCATGGGATGGGTGTGGCAGTGGGGAGCATGGGATGGGTGTGGCAGTGGGGAGCATGGGATGGGTGTGGCAGTGGGGAGCATGGGATGGGTGTGGCAGTGGGGAGCATGGGATGGGTGTGGCAGTGGGGAGCATGGGATGGGTGTGGCAGTGGGGAGCATGGGATGGGTGTGGCAGTGGGGAGCATGGGATGGGTGTGGCAGTGGGGAGCATGGGATGGGTGTGGCAGTGGGGAGCATGGGATGGGTGTGGCAGTGGGGAGCATGGGATGGGTGTGGCAGTGGGGAGCATGGGATGGGTGTGGCAGTGGGGAGCATGGGATGGGTGTGGCAGTGGGGAGCATGGGATGGGTGTGGCAGTGGGGAGCATGGGATGGGTGTGGCAGTGGGGAGCATGGGATGGGTGTGGCAGTGGGGAGCATGGGATGGGTGTGGCAGTGGGGAGCATGGGATGGGTGTGGCAGTGGGGAGCATGGGATGGGTGTGGCAGTGGGGAGCATGGGATGGGTGTGGCAGTGGGGAGCATGGGATGGGTGTGGCAGTGGGGAGCATGGGATGGGTGTGGCAGTGGGGAGCATGGGATGGGTGTGGCAGTGGGGAGCATGGGATGGGTGTGGCAGTGGGGAGCATGGGATGGGTGTGGCAGTGGGGAGCATGGGATGGGTGTGGCAGTGGGGAGCATGGGATGGGTGTGGCAGTGGGGAGCATGGGATGGGTGTGGCAGTGGGGAGCATGGGATGGGTGTGGCAGTGGGGAGCATGGGATGGGTGTGGCAGTGGGGAGCATGGGATGGGTGTGGCAGTGGGGAGCATGGGATGGGTGTGGCAGTGGGGAGCATGGGATGGGTGTGGCAGTGGGGAGCATGGGATGGGTGTGGCAGTGGGGAGCATGGGATGGGTGTGGCAGTGGGGAGCATGGGATGGGTGTGGCAGTGGGGAGCATGGGATGGGTGTGGCAGTGGGGAGCATGGGATGGGTGTGGCAGTGGGGAGCATGGGATGGGTGTGGCAGTGGGGAGCATGGGATGGGTGTGGCAGTGGGGAGCATGGGATGGGTGTGGCAGTGGGGAGCATGGGATGGGTGTGGCAGTGGGGAGCATGGGATGGGTGTGGCAGTGGGGAGCATGGGATGGGTGTGGCAGTGGGGAGCATGGGATGGGTGTGGCAGTGGGGAGCATGGGATGGGTGTGGCAGTGGGGAGCATGGGATGGGTGTGGCAGTGGGGAGCATGGGATGGGTGTGGCAGTGGGGAGCATGGGATGGGTGTGGCAGTGGGGAGCATGGGATGGGTGTGGCAGTGGGGAGCATGGGATGGGTGTGGCAGTGGGGAGCATGGGATGGGTGTGGCAGTGGGGAGCATGGGATGGGTGTGGCAGTGGGGAGCATGGGATGGGTGTGGCAGTGGGGAGCATGGGATGGGTGTGGCAGTGGGGAGCATGGGATGGGTGTGGCAGTGGGGAGCATGGGATGGGTGTGGCAGTGGGGAGCATGGGATGGGTGTGGCAGTGGGGAGCATGGGATGGGTGTGGCAGTGGGGAGCATGGGATGGGTGTGGCAGTGGGGAGCATGGGATGGGTGTGGCAGTGGGGAGCATGGGATGGGTGTGGCAGTGGGGAGCATGGGATGGGTGTGGCAGTGGGGAGCATGGGATGGGTGTGGCAGTGGGGAGCATGGGATGGGTGTGGCAGTGGGGAGCATGGGATGGGTGTGGCAGTGGGGAGCATGGGATGGGTGTGGCAGTGGGGAGCATGGGATGGGTGTGGCAGTGGGGAGCATGGGATGGGTGTGGCAGTGGGGAGCATGGGATGGGTGTGGCAGTGGGGAGCATGGGATGGGTGTGGCAGTGGGGAGCATGGGATGGGTGTGGCAGTGGGGAGCATGGGATGGGTGTGGCAGTGGGGAGCATGGGATGGGTGTGGCAGTGGGGAGCATGGGATGGGTGTGGCAGTGGGGAGCATGGGATGGGTGTGGCAGTGGGGAGCATGGGATGGGTGTGGCAGTGGGGAGCATGGGATGGGTGTGGCAGTGGGGAGCATGGGATGGGTGTGGCAGTGGGGAGCATGGGATGGGTGTGGCAGTGGGGAGCATGGGATGGGTGTGGCAGTGGGGAGCATGGGATGGGTGTGGCAGTGGGGAGCATGGGATGGGTGTGGCAGTGGGGAGCATGGGATGGGTGTGGCAGTGGGGAGCATGGGATGGGTGTGGCAGTGGGGAGCATGGGATGGGTGTGGCAGTGGGGAGCATGGGATGGGTGTGGCAGTGGGGAGCATGGGATGGGTGTGGCAGTGGGGAGCATGGGATGGGTGTGGCAGTGGGGAGCATGGGATGGGTGTGGCAGTGGGGAGCATGGGATGGGTGTGGCAGTGGGGAGCATGGGATGGGTGTGGCAGTGGGGAGCATGGGATGGGTGTGGCAGTGGGGAGCATGGGATGGGTGTGGCAGTGGGGAGCATGGGATGGGTGTGGCAGTGGGGAGCATGGGATGGGTGTGGCAGTGGGGAGCATGGGATGGGTGTGGCAGTGGGGAGCATGGGATGGGTGTGGCAGTGGGGAGCATGGGATGGGTGTGGCAGTGGGGAGCATGGGATGGGTGTGGCAGTGGGGAGCATGGGATGGGTGTGGCAGTGGGGAGCATGGGATGGGTGTGGCAGTGGGGAGCATGGGATGGGTGTGCCAGTGGGGAGCATGGGATGGGTGTGGCAGTGGGGAGCATGGGATGGGTGTGGCAGTGGGGAGCATGGGATGGGTGTGGCAGTGGGGAGCATGGGATGGGTGTGGCAGTGGGGAGCATGGGATGGGTGTGGCAGTGGGGAGCATGGGATGGGTGTGGCAGTGGGGAGCATGGGATGGGTGTGGCAGTGGGGAGCATGGGATGGGTGTGGCAGTGGGGAGCATGGGATGGGTGTGGCAGTGGGGAGCATGGGATGGGTGTGGCAGTGGGGAGCATGGGATGGGTGTGGCAGTGGGGAGCATGGGATGGGTGTGGCAGTGGGGAGCATGGGATGGGTGTGGCAGTGGGGAGCATGGGATGGGTGTGGCAGTGGGGAGCATGGGATGGGTGTGGCAGTGGGGAGCATGGGATGGGTGTGGCAGTGGGGAGCATGGGATGGGTGTGGCAGTGGGGAGCATGGGATGGGTGTGGCAGTGGGGAGCATGGGATGGGTGTGCAGTGGGGAGCATGGGATGGGTGTGGCAGTGGGGAGCATGGGATGGGTGTGGCAGTGGGGAGCATGGGATGGGTGTGGCAGTGGGGAGCATGGGATGGGTGTGGCAGTGGGGAGCATGGGATGGGTGTGGCAGTGGGGAGCATGGGATGGGTGTGGCAGTGGGGAGCATGGGATGGGTGTGGCAGTGGGGAGCATGGGATGGGTGTGGCAGTGGGGAGCATGGGATGGGTGTGGCAGTGGGGAGCATGGGATGGGTGTGGCAGTGGGGAGCATGGGATGGGTGTGGCAGTGGGGAGCATGGGATGGGTGTGGCAGTGGGGAGCATGGGATGGGTGTGGCAGTGGGGAGCATGGGATGGGTGTGGCAGTGGGGAGCATGGGATGGGTGTGGCAGTGGGGAGCATGGGATGGGTGTGGCAGTGGGGAGCATGGGATGGGTGTGGCAGTGGGGAGCATGGGATGGGTGTGGCAGTGGGGAGCATGGGATGGGTGTGGCAGTGGGGAGCATGGGATGGGTGTGGCAGTGGGGAGCATGGGATGGGTGTGCCAGTGGGGAGCATGGGATGGGTGTGGCAGTGGGGAGCATGGGATGGGTGTGCCAGTGGGGAGCATGGGATGGGTGTGGCAGTGGGGAGCATGGGATGGGTGTGCCAGTGGGGAGCATGGGATGGGTGTGGCAGTGGGGAGCATGGGATGGGTGTGCCAGTGGGGAGCATGGGATGGGTGTGCCAGTGGGGAGCATGGGATGGGTGTGGCAGTGGGGAGCATGGGATGGGTGTGCCAGTGGGGAGCATGGGATGGGTGTGCCAGTGGGGAGCATGGGATGGGTGTGGCAGTGGGGAGCATGGGATGGGTGTGGCAGTGGGGAGCATGGGATGGGTGTGGCAGTGGGGAGCATGGGATGGGTGTGGCAGTGGGGAGCATGGGATGGGTGTGCCAGTGGGGAGCATGGGATGGGTGTGGCAGTGGGGAGCATGGGATGGGTGTGCCAGTGGGGAGCATGGGATGGGTGTGCCAGTGGGGAGCATGGGATGGGTGTGGCAGTGGGGAGCATGGGATGGGTGTGGCAGTGGGGAGCATGGGATGGGTGTGGCAGTGGGGAGCATGGGATGGGTGTGGCAGTGGGGAGCATGGGATGGGTGTGGCAGTGGGGAGCATGGGATGGGTGTGGCAGTGGGGAGCATGGGATGGGTGTGGCAGTGGGGAGCATGGGATGGGTGTGGCAGTGGGGAGCATGGGATGGGTGTGGCAGTGGGGAGCATGGGATGGGTGTGGCAGTGGGGAGCATGGGATGGGTGTGCCAGTGGGGAGCATGGGATGGGTGTGCCAGTGGGGAGCATGGGATGGGTGTGCCAGTGGGGAGCATGGGATGGGTGTGCCAGTGGGGAGCATGGGATGGGTGTGCCAGTGGGGAGCATGGGATGGGTGTGGCAGTGGGGAGCATGGGATGGGTGTGCCAGTGGGGAGCATGGGATGGGTGTGGCAGTGGGGAGCATGGGATGGGTGTGCCAGTGGGGAGCATGGGATGGGTGTGGCAGTGGGGAGCATGGGATGGGTGTGGCAGTGGGGAGCATGGGATGGGTGTGCCAGTGGGGAGCATGGGATGGGTGTGGCAGTGGGGAGCATGGGATGGGTGTGCCAGTGGGGAGCATGGGATGGGTGTGCCAGTGGGGAGCATGGGATGGGTGTGGCAGTGGGGAGCATGGGATGGGTGTGGCAGTGGGGAGCATGGGATGGGTGTGGCAGTGGGGAGCATGGGATGGGTGTGGCAGTGGGGAGCATGGGATGGGTGTGGCAGTGGGGAGCATGGGATGGGTGTGGCAGTGGGGAGCATGGGATGGGTGTGGCAGTGGGGAGCATGGGATGGGTGTGGCAGTGGGGAGCATGGGATGGGTGTGGCAGTGGGGAGCATGGGATGGGTGTGGCAGTGGGGAGCATGGGATGGGTGTGGCAGTGGGGAGCATGGGATGGGTGTGGCAGTGGGGAGCATGGGATGGGTGTGGCAGTGGGGAGCATGGGATGGGTGTGGCAGTGGGGAGCATGGGATGGGTGTGGCAGTGGGGAGCATGGGATGGGTGTGCCAGTGGGGAGCATGGGATGGGTGTGGCAGTGGGGAGCATGGGATGGGTGTGGCAGTGGGGAGCATGGGATGGGTGTGGCAGTGGGGAGCATGGGATGGGTGTGGCAGTGGGGAGCATGGGATGGGTGTGGCAGTGGGGAGCATGGGATGGGTGTGGCAGTGGGGAGCATGGGATGGGTGTGGCAGTGGGGAGCATGGGATGGGTGTGGCAGTGGGGAGCATGGGATGGGTGTGGCAGTGGGGAGCATGGGATGGGTGTGCCAGTGGGGAGCATGGGATGGGTGTGGCAGTGGGGAGCATGGGATGGGTGTGCCAGTGGGGAGCATGGGATGGGTGTGGCAGTGGGGAGCATGGGATGGGTGTGCCAGTGGGGAGCATGGGATGGGTGTGGCAGTGGGGAGCATGGGATGGGTGTGCCAGTGGGGAGCATGGGATGGGTGTGCCAGTGGGGAGCATGGGATGGGTGTGGCAGTGGGGAGCATGGGATGGGTGTGCCAGTGGGGAGCATGGGATGGGTGTGCCAGTGGGGAGCATGGGATGGGTGTGGCAGTGGGGAGCATGGGATGGGTGTGGCAGTGGGGAGCATGGGATGGGTGTGGCAGTGGGGAGCATGGGATGGGTGTGGCAGTGGGGAGCATGGGATGGGTGTGCCAGTGGGGAGCATGGGATGGGTGTGGCAGTGGGGAGCATGGGATGGGTGTGGCAGTGGGGAGCATGGGATGGGTGTGCCAGTGGGGAGCATGGGATGGGTGTGCCAGTGGGGAGCATGGGATGGGTGTGGCAGTGGGGAGCATGGGATGGGTGTGCCAGTGGGGAGCATGGGATGGGTGTGCCAGTGGGGAGCATGGGATGGGTGTGCCAGTGGGGAGCATGGGATGGGTGTGCCAGTGGGGAGCATGGGATGGGTGTGCCAGTGGGGAGCATGGGATGGGTGTGGCAGTGGGGAGCATGGGATGGGTGTGCCAGTGGGGAGCATGGGATGGGTGTGGCAGTGGGGAGCATGGGATGGGTGTGCCAGTGGGGAGCATGGGATGGGTGTGGCAGTGGGGAGCATGGGATGGGTGTGCCAGTGGGGAGCATGGGATGGGTGTGCCAGTGGGGAGCATGGGATGGGTGTGCCAGTGGGGAGCATGGGATGGGTGTGGCAGTGGGGAGCATGGGATGGGTGTGGCAGTGGGGAGCATGGGATGGGTGTGCCAGTGGGGAGCATGGGATGGGTGTGCCAGTGGGGAGCATGGGATGGGTGTGGCAGTGGGGAGCATGGGATGGGTGTGCCAGTGGGGAGCATGGGATGGGTGTGGCAGTGGGGAGCATGGGATGGGTGTGCCAGTGGGGAGCATGGGATGGGTGTGGCAGTGGGGAGCATGGGATGGGTGTGCCAGTGGGGAGCATGGGATGGGTGTGCCAGTGGGGAGCATGGGATGGGTGTGGCAGTGGGGAGCATGGGATGGGTGTGGCAGTGGGGAGCATGGGATGGGTGTGGCAGTGGGGAGCATGGGATGGGTGTGGCAGTGGGGAGCATGGGATGGGTGTGGCAGTGGGGAGCATGGGATGGGTGTGCCAGTGGGGAGCATGGGATGGGTGTGCCAGTGGGGAGCATGGGATGGGTGTGGCAGTGGGGAGCATGGGATGGGTGTGGCAGTGGGGAGCATGGGATGGGTGTGCCAGTGGGGAGCATGGGATGGGTGTGCCAGTGGGGAGCATGGGATGGGTGTGGCAGTGGGGAGCATGGGATGGGTGTGGCAGTGGGGAGCATGGGATGGGTGTGGCAGTGGGGAGCATGGGATGGGTGTGGCAGTGGGGAGCATGGGATGGGTGTGGCAGTGGGGAGCATGGGATGGGTGTGGCAGTGGGGAGCATGGGATGGGTGTGGCAGTGGGGAGCATGGGATGGGTGTGGCAGTGGGGAGCATGGGATGGGTGTGGCAGTGGGGAGCATGGGATGGGTGTGGCAGTGGGGAGCATGGGATGGGTGTGGCAGTGGGGAGCATGGGATGGGTGTGGCAGTGGGGAGCATGGGATGGGTGTGGCAGTGGGGAGCATGGGATGGGTGTGGCAGTGGGGAGCATGGGATGGGTGTGGCAGTGGGGAGCATGGGATGGGTGTGGCAGTGGGGAGCATGGGATGGGTGTGGCAGTGGGGAGCATGGGATGGGTGTGGCAGTGGGGAGCATGGGATGGGTGTGGCAGTGGGGAGCATGGGATGGGTGTGGCAGTGGGGAGCATGGGATGGGTGTGGCAGTGGGGAGCATGGGATGGGTGTGGCAGTGGGGAGCATGGGATGGGTGTGGCAGTGGGGAGCATGGGATGGGTGTGGCAGTGGGGAGCATGGGATGGGTGTGGCAGTGGGGAGCATGGGATGGGTGTGGCAGTGGGGAGCATGGGATGGGTGTGGCAGTGGGGAGCATGGGATGGGTGTGGCAGTGGGGAGCATGGGATGGGTGTGGCAGTGGGGAGCATGGGATGGGTGTGGCAGTGGGGAGCATGGGATGGGTGTGGCAGTGGGGAGCATGGGATGGGTGTGGCAGTGGGGAGCATGGGATGGGTGTGGCAGTGGGGAGCATGGGATGGGTGTGGCAGTGGGGAGCATGGGATGGGTGTGGCAGTGGGGAGCATGGGATGGGTGTGGCAGTGGGGAGCATGGGATGGGTGTGCCAGTGGGGAGCATGGGATGGGTGTGGCAGTGGGGAGCATGGGATGGGTGTGCCAGTGGGGAGCATGGGATGGGTGTGGCAGTGGGGAGCATGGGATGGGTGTGGCAGTGGGGAGCATGGGATGGGTGTGGCAGTGGGGAGCATGGGATGGGTGTGCCAGTGGGGAGCATGGGATGGGTGTGGCAGTGGGGAGCATGGGATGGGTGTGCCAGTGGGGAGCATGGGATGGGTGTGGCAGTGGGGAGCATGGGATGGGTGTGCCAGTGGGGAGCATGGGATGGGTGTGGCAGTGGGGAGAATGGGATGGGTGTGGCAGTGGGGAGCATGGGATGGGTGTGCCAGTGGGGAGCATGGGATGGGTGTGCCAGTGGGGAGCATGGGATGGGTGTGGCAGTGGGGAGCATGGGATGGGTGTGCCAGTGGGGAGCATGGGATGGGTGTGCCAGTGGGGAGCATGGGATGGGTGTGGCAGTGGGGAGCATGGGATGGGTGTGGCAGTGGGGAGCATGGGATGGGTGTGCCAGTGGGGAGCATGGGATGGGTGTGCAGTGGGGAGCATGGGATGGGTGTGGCAGTGGGGAGCATGGGATGGGTGTGGCAGTGGGGAGCATGGGATGGGTGTGGCAGTGGGGAGCATGGGATGGGTGTGGCAGTGGGGAGCATGGGATGGGTGTGGCAGTGGGGAGCATGGGATGGGTGTGGCAGTGGGGAGCATGGGATGGGTGTGGCAGTGGGGAGCATGGGATGGGTGTGGCAGTGGGGAGCATGGGATGGGTGTGGCAGTGGGGAGCATGGGATGGGTGTGGCAGTGGGGAGCATGGGATGGGTGTGGCAGTGGGGAGCATGGGATGGGTGTGGCAGTGGGGAGCATGGGATGGGTGTGGCAGTGGGGAGCATGGGATGGGTGTGGCAGTGGGGAGCATGGGATGGGTGTGGCAGTGGGGAGCATGGGATGGGTGTGGCAGTGGGGAGCATGGGATGGGTGTGGCAGTGGGGAGCATGGGATGGGTGTGGCAGTGGGGAGCATGGGATGGGTGTGGCAGTGGGGAGCATGGGATGGGTGTGGCAGTGGGGAGCATGGGATGGGTGTGGCAGTGGGGAGCATGGGATGGGTGTGGCAGTGGGGAGCATGGGATGGGTGTGGCAGTGGGGAGCATGGGATGGGTGTGGCAGTGGGGAGCATGGGATGGGTGTGGCAGTGGGGAGCATGGGATGGGTGTGGCAGTGGGGAGCATGGGATGGGTGTGGCAGTGGGGAGCATGGGATGGGTGTGGCAGTGGGGAGCATGGGATGGGTGTGGCAGTGGGGAGCATGGGATGGGTGTGGCAGTGGGGAGCATGGGATGGGTGTGGCAGTGGGGAGCATGGGATGGGTGTGGCAGTGGGGAGCATGGGATGGGTGTGGCAGTGGGGAGCATGGGATGGGTGTGGCAGTGGGGAGCATGGGATGGGTGTGGCAGTGGGGAGCATGGGATGGGTGTGGCAGTGGGGAGCATGGGATGGGTGTGGCAGTGGGGAGCATGGGATGGGTGTGGCAGTGGGGAGCATGGGATGGGTGTGGCAGTGGGGAGCATGGGATGGGTGTGGCAGTGGGGAGCATGGGATGGGTGTGGCAGTGGGGAGCATGGGATGGGTGTGGCAGTGGGGAGCATGGGATGGGTGTGGCAGTGGGGAGCATGGGATGGGTGTGGCAGTGGGGAGCATGGGATGGGTGTGGCAGTGGGGAGCATGGGATGGGTGTGGCAGTGGGGAGCATGGGATGGGTGTGGCAGTGGGGAGCATGGGATGGGTGTGGCAGTGGGGAGCATGGGATGGGTGTGGCAGTGGGGAGCATGGGATGGGTGTGGCAGTGGGGAGCATGGGATGGGTGTGGCAGTGGGGAGCATGGGATGGGTGTGGCAGTGGGGAGCATGGGATGGGTGTGGCAGTGGGGAGCATGGGATGGGTGTGGCAGTGGGGAGCATGGGATGGGTGTGGCAGTGGGGAGCATGGGATGGGTGTGGCAGTGGGGAGCATGGGATGGGTGTGGCAGTGGGGAGCATGGGATGGGTGTGGCAGTGGGGAGCATGGGATGGGTGTGGCAGTGGGGAGCATGGGATGGGTGTGGCAGTGGGGAGCATGGGATGGGTGTGGCAGTGGGGAGCATGGGATGGGTGTGGCAGTGGGGAGCATGGGATGGGTGTGGCAGTGGGGAGCATGGGATGGGTGTGGCAGTGGGGAGCATGGGATGGGTGTGGCAGTGGGGAGCATGGGATGGGTGTGGCAGTGGGGAGCATGGGATGGGTGTGGCAGTGGGGAGCATGGGATGGGTGTGGCAGTGGGGAGCATGGGATGGGTGTGGCAGTGGGGAGCATGGGATGGGTGTGGCAGTGGGGAGCATGGGATGGGTGTGGCAGTGGGGAGCATGGGATGGGTGTGGCAGTGGGGAGCATGGGATGGGTGTGGCAGTGGGGAGCATGGGATGGGTGTGGCAGTGGGGAGCATGGGATGGGTGTGGCAGTGGGGAGCATGGGATGGGTGTGGCAGTGGGGAGCATGGGATGGGTGTGGCAGTGGGGAGCATGGGATGGGTGTGGCAGTGGGGAGCATGGGATGGGTGTGGCAGTGGGGAGCATGGGATGGGTGTGGCAGTGGGGAGCATGGGATGGGTGTGGCAGTGGGGAGCATGGGATGGGTGTGGCAGTGGGGAGCATGGGATGGGTGTGGCAGTGGGGAGCATGGGATGGGTGTGGCAGTGGGGAGCATGGGATGGGTGTGGCAGTGGGGAGCATGGGATGGGTGTGGCAGTGGGGAGCATGGGATGGGTGTGGCAGTGGGGAGCATGGGATGGGTGTGGCAGTGGGGAGCATGGGATGGGTGTGGCAGTGGGGAGCATGGGATGGGTGTGGCAGTGGGGAGCATGGGATGGGTGTGGCAGTGGGGAGCATGGGATGGGTGTGGCAGTGGGGAGCATGGGATGGGTGTGGCAGTGGGGAGCATGGGATGGGTGTGGCAGTGGGGAGCATGGGATGGGTGTGGCAGTGGGGAGCATGGGATGGGTGTGGCAGTGGGGAGCATGGGATGGGTGTGGCAGTGGGGAGCATGGGATGGGTGTGGCAGTGGGGAGCATGGGATGGGTGTGGCAGTGGGGAGCATGGGATGGGTGTGGCAGTGGGGAGCATGGGATGGGTGTGGCAGTGGGGAGCATGGGATGGGTGTGGCAGTGGGGAGCATGGGATGGGTGTGGCAGTGGGGAGCATGGGATGGGTGTGGCAGTGGGGAGCATGGGATGGGTGTGGCAGTGGGGAGCATGGGATGGGTGTGGCAGTGGGGAGCATGGGATGGGTGTGGCAGTGGGGAGCATGGGATGGGTGTGGCAGTGGGGAGCATGGGATGGGTGTGGCAGTGGGGAGCATGGGATGGGTGTGGCAGTGGGGAGCATGGGATGGGTGTGGCAGTGGGGAGCATGGGATGGGTGTGGCAGTGGGGAGCATGGGATGGGTGTGGCAGTGGGGAGCATGGGATGGGTGTGGCAGTGGGGAGCATGGGATGGGTGTGGCAGTGGGGAGCATGGGATGGGTGTGGCAGTGGGGAGCATGGGATGGGTGTGGCAGTGGGGAGCATGGGATGGGTGTGGCAGTGGGGAGCATGGGATGGGTGTGGCAGTGGGGAGCATGGGATGGGTGTGGCAGTGGGGAGCATGGGATGGGTGTGGCAGTGGGGAGCATGGGATGGGTGTGGCAGTGGGGAGCATGGGATGGGTGTGGCAGTGGGGAGCATGGGATGGGTGTGGCAGTGGGGAGCATGGGATGGGTGTGGCAGTGGGGAGCATGGGATGGGTGTGGCAGTGGGGAGCATGGGATGGGTGTGGCAGTGGGGAGCATGGGATGGGTGTGGCAGTGGGGAGCATGGGATGGGTGTGGCAGTGGGGAGCATGGGATGGGTGTGGCAGTGGGGAGCATGGGATGGGTGTGGCAGTGGGGAGCATGGGATGGGTGTGGCAGTGGGGAGCATGGGATGGGTGTGGCAGTGGGGAGCATGGGATGGGTGTGGCAGTGGGGAGCATGGGATGGGTGTGGCAGTGGGGAGCATGGGATGGGTGTGGCAGTGGGGAGCATGGGATGGGTGTGGCAGTGGGGAGCATGGGATGGGTGTGGCAGTGGGGAGCATGGGATGGGTGTGGCAGTGGGGAGCATGGGATGGGTGTGGCAGTGGGGAGCATGGGATGGGTGTGGCAGTGGGGAGCATGGGATGGGTGTGGCAGTGGGGAGCATGGGATGGGTGTGGCAGTGGGGAGCATGGGATGGGTGTGGCAGTGGGGAGCATGGGATGGGTGTGGCAGTGGGGAGCATGGGATGGGTGTGGCAGTGGGGAGCATGGGATGGGTGTGGCAGTGGGGAGCATGGGATGGGTGTGGCAGTGGGGAGCATGGGATGGGTGTGGCAGTGGGGAGCATGGGATGGGTGTGGCAGTGGGGAGCATGGGATGGGTGTGGCAGTGGGGAGCATGGGATGGGTGTGGCAGTGGGGAGCATGGGATGGGTGTGGCAGTGGGGAGCATGGGATGGGTGTGGCAGTGGGGAGCATGGGATGGGTGTGGCAGGGATGGATGGGTGTGGCAGTGGGGAGCATGGGATGGGTGTGGCAGTGGGGAGCATGGGATGGGTGTGGCAGTGGGGAGCATGGGATGGGTGTGGCAGTGGGGAGCATGGGATGGGTGTGGCAGTGGGGAGCATGGGATGGGTGTGGCAGTGGGGAGCATGGGATGGGTGTGGCAGTGGGGAGCATGGGATGGGTGTGGCAGTGGGGAGCATGGGATGGGTGTGGCAGTGGGGAGCATGGGATGGGTGTGGCAGTGGGGAGCATGGGATGGGTGTGGCAGTGGGGAGCATGGGATGGGTGTGGCAGTGGGGAGCATGGGATGGGTGTGGCAGTGGGGAGCATGGGATGGGTGTGGCAGTGGGGAGCATGGGATGGGTGTGGCAGTGGGGAGCATGGGATGGGTGTGGCAGTGGGGAGCATGGGATGGGTGTGGCAGTGGGGAGCATGGGATGGGTGTGGCAGTGGGGAGCATGGGATGGGTGTGGCAGTGGGGAGCATGGGATGGGTGTGGCAGTGGGGAGCATGGGATGGGTGTGGCAGTGGGGAGCATGGGATGGGTGTGGCAGTGGGGAGCATGGGATGGGTGTGGCAGTGGGGAGCATGGGATGGGTGTGGCAGTGGGGAGCATGGGATGGGTGTGGCAGTGGGGAGCATGGGATGGGTGTGGCAGTGGGGAGCATGGGATGGGTGTGGCAGTGGGGAGCATGGGATGGGTGTGGCAGTGGGGAGCATGGGATGGGTGTGGCAGTGGGGAGCATGGGATGGGTGTGGCAGTGGGGAGCATGGGATGGGTGTGGCAGTGGGGAGCATGGGATGGGTGTGGCAGTGGGGAGCATGGGATGGGTGTGGCAGTGGGGAGCATGGGATGGGTGTGGCAGTGGGGAGCATGGGATGGGTGTGGCAGTGGGGAGCATGGGATGGGTGTGGCAGTGGGGAGCATGGGATGGGTGTGGCAGTGGGGAGCATGGGATGGGTGTGGCAGTGGGGAGCATGGGATGGGTGTGGCAGTGGGGAGCATGGGATGGGTGTGGCAGTGGGGAGCATGGGATGGGTGTGGCAGTGGGGAGCATGGGATGGGTGTGGCAGTGGGGAGCATGGGATGGGTGTGGCAGTGGGGAGCATGGGATGGGTGTGGCAGTGGGGAGCATGGGATGGGTGTGGCAGTGGGGAGCATGGGATGGGTGTGGCAGTGGGGAGCATGGGATGGGTGTGGCAGTGGGGAGCATGGGATGGGTGACATGGCATGAATGGGGTGCATGGAGGGTGGCGTGCAATGCAGCACAAGGCTGTGCCAGGGCGACTGCGAGGCGAGATGTAGGCCTACCAGCAGGCGGCATGCTCAAGTGGTGACACGTGCATGGTTGAACCGCACAGCCCCATGCAAGCACACAGCCTTGAGCACATGCAGTGTGGGGAATGCTCACGGGGGCAGTGGGCGTGGGGAATGCTCACGGGGGCAGTCGGTGCGCGGCGAGGAGCGCAGGGAGAGGAAGGGCAGGAGCGAGCCCGCCCAGGCGTCCCTGGCCGTCAGCACGTCCTGCTTAGACGTCAGCCTGAACACGTCCCTCAGTGTCGCCGCCACCGACGTGTGCTCGAACTGCGATGTCGGGTACGGGCCTCGTGGGCGGTGGATGACTGGCGGGCCGAGAGAAGGGGGAGGGGAATGGGAAGGGCGGATAGGAGGAGTGGAGGAGGTGGGGGAGAGGGGAGAAGGTCGGATCAGTGGCGGAGAAGGGGGAGGGGAAAAGCGGATGAGTGGCGGAGCGGGGGAAAGAGGGGAACAGTGGATGATTGGAAAAATGGCGTTGGAGAGAAAGGGCTGATGAGTGGCGGCAGAGAGGGGGAGGGGGGGGCGGATGAATGACAGAGGGGGCAGGGCAGACAGGAAAAGGGGGAACGGGGAGCGGAGGGGGGCGCACCCATGCCTTTGTCGATCCAGGGCGAGATGACAAAGGTGGGCACGCGCACGCCGAGGCGGCGGAAGTTGAAGGCGTCCTCCTCGCCCACCACGCCGTCGGGGGACGGCACGCCCGCCATGGGCGGCGCCACGTGGTCGAAGAACCCGCCGTGCTCGTCATACGTCACGAGCAGCAGCGCGTGGCGCCACTGCGGCCCCGCGCGCAGAGCCTCGTACACGTCTTTAATCAGCTGCTGCCCGTGGCGCACGTCGTGGCCCGGGTGGTCGTCGTTGCCCGGCTGGCGCGAGAAGTCGAAGTACTGCGGCTCGACAAACGAGTACGCGGGCAGCCGCCCCAGCCGCGCCTGCGCGTAGAACATCTCGATCGGGCGGAACCTGCGCGCGTGCTTCCGCCGGCGCAGCGAGGAGAGCGCAAGCGACGCGGGGATGTCGTGGTAGAAGATGCCGAAGGACACCTTGCGGCGCGAGAGCACGTCGAAGATGGTGCGCGCGGGGAAGCCCGCGAGCAGCACGGGCTTGCGCTCCGCCAGGAGCCCCTTGGACGTGGCGGCGTGCAGGAAGTAGCGGTTGGGATGGGTGGGGCCCGGTACGGACGAGAACCAGCGGTCGCACACGGCGAAGTTCGTGGCGAGCGCGGTGGTCACAGGCAGCGCGGCCGGCGGAAAGGCGGACATGACCTCCGCGGAGAACCCCGCGCGCACCTCCTCCGCCTGCTGCGCGAATCCCCGCATAAGCCGAGAAGAGGCCTGGGAGAGGTAGTGGGGGCGGTGCAGAGGGGAGCGTTGGACGGGAGCGGAGTAGCGTAAGGAGAGGACAGGCGGAGGGTGGATCAGGAGGCAAGGGAGACCGGGAAGAAAGTGGCTGGATAAAGTAAAACAAAGAGGCGGCAGAGGGAGGGGGGCGATAAGGAGCGGTAGCGGCGGAATGGCAGGCTTGGAATCCCTGCGATGGGCGGATAGGGCGAGGTTTGTCAGGGAGGCGGATGGGATAGGTGATGGGGACACGCAATCGGTCTCACGGGCTGAATCGCGGATAACGGTGCGAGCATGAGCACGTCGCGTGTCGTACCTTAGCTACCGATTTCCCGCCGAAGATCTGATTGCGAACGCCTTTGAACGAGTGGTCGGGGTCCTCGCTGTTGTTGTACCGCGCTCTATCGTTAATGCACACTTGCTCGAACGTCACCGAGCTGCCGCCCGAATCGCCCGACAGGCTCGACTCGCCCGAATCGCCCGAGTCGCCTGGCGGGGCCGGCGGGTCCGCATCGCGGGCCTTGGCGACGATGGGGTTGCACTCGGAGCCATCGAGGCCGTCGATTTCGGCGTTGCGGGGCTGCAGCCATCCCAGCACATGATCGAACGAGCGGTTCTCCATCATCAGCACCACCACGTTCTTGATGCGCTCCGACGCCGCCACGTGGCAACTGATTAATAGGCAGAGCATCGAGAAAAAGGATAGGGTGGCACGGCGGCGGAGGCGAAAGCGCCGCGGTGGCCGCCATTGCTGGGGCATCGCTGAGGTCTAGGCCGGAAATAGTGTATCGCCGTGGGAAAGCAAACAGCTGCGCTACTTGGAAAGCTTTGACCCTGGAATTTGACTCTCTACAACCGCGATCTACGAACGAGCACACGTGAGCAATTCTGTCATAAATGAGCCATTGGAGGTTTGAAGCTGCTCAACCCCGTCATAAGAGGTAAGTTGGCCTGCGTTGAAAACAAAACTGAGACGACGAATAGCACACAGACTACCCAATTCTCGCACTTGCCTGTTCGGTGAATGCAATTCTGCCTTTCACCAGCAAAAACACCATCAGCAAGGGTGCTTGCGCTGGGCCCCAAGCAGGTTACCCTGTTCTGCTCGCCCTCCAGCGGCGTCGATGGAAAGGCAACTGCAAATCTTCAGCATCAAAATGTCACCGTGCAGCCGTCTTTCTTGTATCCTACCCTGCCCGGCCGCTAGTCTGCCGGTCGCCTCGGATTTGAGACAAACAAGGGCGGGCGAAAAATATTTCGAAATCGCTCAACTCCAGCTCCAACACTTGCACAGACCATGGCCGCCGCCCTCTTTCCCTCACGAGTCGCGCTGCTCTGCGACATATTGCGATCGCGAAAGGGCCGTGAGTTTGAGTCGCCTCGCCACCATAACCATCAGACGCGGGCGAAGATGGACGACTGTGACAAACAGTTTCGTCGCGAGAGTGACGAACAGCCAGGCACATGAGTGATCGTGTCTGAAGATTCTGTGGTGACATGGCAACCCTCTGTTCACGCCACGCCACGCTACATAACGAACCACCCTTCCCCAATACCCACCCCCTCCTTGGTCCAGGCAAAACAGTCAGCCACCGTGACACCCCAATGTAAGGCACTTATAGCGGAGTAAATAATTTAACCTAGCCATATATACACATAATAAATAGCTGACTGTCAACCCAATTGCCAACTCTACCTACTTGTCCACTGTACAATCATTCATGTGAAACCATTGCATGGCGTTGAAGATGATAGAAAACACTGTTATAAATAGCTCTGCTGATGTGACGAGGAGGCCCGATTTCAGTCAGCATCAAGGCACTGGGCAGCAGTGCAAGCACGCTGGCTGATGTGACGAGGAGACGACTTCAACCGCAGCATCAAGGCACTGGGCAGCAGTGCAAGAATGCGGGCAGTCAGGCACTGGGTGGCGGTCAGGCAGCAGGGACAGGCTGTGTCCACAACAGCAGGAATGACCACAATTGCCCTGATCCACCAGTTCTCAACCCTGCATCCGCCTCATGCCACAGTGTGCTGCTCACAGCCCTGCATCTGCTGAGCTGCTGGGATCTGTGTGGCAGACTGTGGGGCTGTTCAAGGCCGACTGTGACCGGGAGTGTGATGGTGACCGAGGGCTGTGAAGCACCCTTGGGTCAGTGACGAGCTGTGGGCTGCTGTGTGGGGCAGTGAGGGCCTTTTGACTAGGGATGGCCCTTGGACTAGCAACACATATGGACACGTCTGCTCCCCTCTGCCGCCCCGTGCCAGACCTGCTGCCAGCTGTTGGGCTGTTAAGTGGGGAGCAGGGGTTAAGTGGGGAGCGGTGGAGGTGGGAGAAACTGGAGGAATGTGTGCGGTGGTGGGCTGGGGAGAGGGGCGAGCGGGTGGGGGCAGCGGTGGCAGTGCAACGAGCGGAGTGCGCTCTGCGTGGAATGGCTAGCATTGGAACCTCACCTTCCTCCTCATCCTCTCCCTCCTGCTGGCACGGCTGCATGAGGGCATGTGTGGGTGGTGCAGTGGGGTTGCGTACGGGTGGGGGAAGCACCACACTGCACGTTCCGTGGGCACACCCCGATTGTGGAGAGGGGGTCGCGCTGTGACTGTATCGACTGTGATCCTGTATGCGCTCAGGTAGCTGTGTAATGCCGCCAAACCCCCTCACATCGCTTGCCACATCGCCCTCATCCCCCCTCACAGCGCCTCCTCCTACCCGCTCCCTGGCAGTGCATGATGCTGCTACTCCCTCGGGACCAGTGTGGCACTTCAACTGTGCAGAGGCGGCGCTGGGCGGCGCCTGACTGGGCGGTGTGGGGCTGGGCGGCGCCAGGGCGCGAGCGACCAGGCGCCACATGGGCACGTCTGCCTCTTCCATAGGCATTCCATCGTGGACACGCTGCCACATGGCAGCATCTGATTGGCCGCCAAATGATGCCCGCCGTTGCGGCTGCCTGGTTCTCATGATCACATTCCGTCCTTGCAGCAACCGCTCCCCTCTCCCCACTTTCTGTGTCCCCCAGTCTTCCTCCCCTTCTTCCTCCCCCTCACCCTCCCTCCTCTCCCTCTCCCTGTCCCCGCTCGCCTCCGACACCCACTTCTCTCGCCACCCCATCACCTCACACTCCTCCTGCCCCCTGCCCCCACCCTCGCCTCCCCCCCACTGCCGCAGCGGCTGCTCCGCTAGCAGGCGCGCGGGCGGGCAGCTACGGGGCGCGGGATGGGTGGGGGAACGGGGGAAGGTGAGGGGCAGGAGGGGGAGGGGCAAGCGGGTATGGCGGGCGGCGGAGGGGGAGAGCTTCGGTTGCAGTTGCGAGGGCGGGCGGTGGAAGCTGCGCGCGCGGGCAAGGTCGGCCGCCTCTTGCGCTATTGGCGCATCGGACTCGCGGCGGCGGGCGGGCGGATGGTGGAAGCTCGCCGCGCGGGGAAGGTCCGCCTGGTCGTGGGAGGCGTACTGCGCAGTGCGCTCAGGAATGCAGGGGCGCGGAGACGAGTGCGCGCTGGGCGCGCGCGGACGGGACGCCTGGAGCAGGCGCGGAGATGCGGAGGCGGAGGGAGGAGGGGAAGGGGCGGTACATGCAGAGCGCGGGTGTAGCAGCCGCGGGGATTCAGCGCAGGTGCAGGCGAGCGGGAGTGCGGACGGGCTGGCAGCAGCAGCGGAAGGAGCGGGTGGGGAGGACGCAAATGAGGAAGGCGAGGCAGCTGCGGAGTCAGCGGATGCTGCGGGCGAGACAGCAGCCGCGGCGGTACGGTCGTTGACGGCCTGCGCGGCCCTGACGGCAGCATGGGTGGCGGAGGTGCCAAGGCAGGTGTGGAGGCCGCACTGGGAGGGAAGGATGAGCGACGGCGGGCGTGGCCCGCGCATCTGCACGCCGTGGGCTTCCCCTGCTGCTGTTGAGGCGGCAGGGCGAACGCGAGCGAGCGGGCCACGGCTGGCGGGAGCACCGGCATGACCGCCGGAATGGACAGCGCTTGCGTCAGGGGTACCTTGGAATGCCGTCCGCTCGGGGTGCGAAGAATCGCGATGCGCTGACGGACGAATTGCGCTCAGGACTTTCGGTGTGACGAGATTCGGCGAATCTTGCGCCTTGGAGGAAGTTGATGCGTCGCCGCGTGGAGAGCCAACGAGCGCGGTGTCGCGCTGCAGGCGAGTCGGCGGCACGGCGCCACGTCGACACCCGGAAAACGCGCGCCGTTGGCTCTCCATCGTGCGCCCATTGCCGGGAGCAGCTCCATGCGCAGCGCCAGATGGTAACCGCGGCGATGGAATTCTTGGCGAAAAGGCTGGCGAAGAACCATGTGGCGAAATGTTTCCACCAGGCGAGAAAACCCTGGGCGAAAACGTGGGCGAAAGATCGCCGTCGCAGGTGCTGGGCGTGGCGGGGAACGAGAAGCCGTCCCAAGAATTCGACGCCGCCTCAGTTTCGCCGATGCCTTCTGTCACGAGTGTGACTAAAGCGGGGTCCACAGTGAGCGAGGGAGGGCCAGACGCTCGCGACTCGAGCACGGATGGACGAATGGGCGCCGGCGTGCCATGCCGCGAGCCTAGGACCTGGCGACGATGCTTCTGATGGCGACGATCCCTGACGACGGATTCGGGCGACAGCGACGGCACCTGGTCCTTGGGACTGACCGCGTGCATGCCCACCTGCATGCACTCCCTTTGCGCGGGCTGGGAAGATAACGAAGGTTGGATAAGATCCATTGAGAGCTCGTAATTGCGATAGTATGATCGAATCTAGAAGCATTCTCCAACTCTTGACTACGAGGGCGTGAAACATGCGGAAAGACGCTGAAACCTGCGGATTGTTTCTCTATGCAAGACGGGTACCAAGTCTGCTCCTAGTGTGCAGTTGTGGTAACTAGGCAGCGAGGCCGACAGTTATGGCAAGATGGCCAGGTTTGCCTTGTGAGCTGTACGCCATGTGCCCACCGCCGCACCACATGGCAGTGGCTGGATTGTATGGGCTGGGGGATGCGGACGAAGGGGGGTGGGTGCTGCTCACCGCTCGTGCGTCACTGCCCTCTGGGTTGGGCGGTCACATCACATGGAATCCAAATTCCTGTGCGTGTGATCTCACCGTCCGCTGAGCAGCACACTGCAATGTTGACGGTCAGGATGGTCGGGGCAAAAAGCCCAACGCAAGGTGAAACTTGTTTTGTTTGGGGGTGACATGGCAAGGGCGGGGGACGGAGGGATGCATCCCAGCCACAGGGCGAGCAGAATGCACTACGTGGCTGGAAGCAACGCAAGGCAGGTGTGGGCGCGACTTGCTGACATGGAGGCGGGTGTGTCAGGTTCGAGATGGTTCGAACACAAGTTTGACGTGGCACACAATATGGCTGACGGAAAGTACGAACGGCGCGCCGAGCCAGCTTGGTTTGGGGCGCCAAATTCCCTTTGAGGTGAAGTCAAATAGCGCAGATTATTGTCTTCCGAGTTTTTGGGTTGCGAACAGGGCTCTCTTTTCATTTTAGGGCACTCTTCCAAATCAGGGTTCCCGCCGCCCGCCACCCGGCCAAGCCGAGTGGCAAGCGGCAAAATCAGGGTAGTGGCAGGGTGATTTTTTGCCACACCTGATTTGTGGCAGGGTGATTTTTCCGAGGACCCTGTTTTGCCACAAGTGTTGTGACTGGCACAGCACGCTCTACAGCTGTGTCTGCGAGTCTCAGCACTTCAGTTTTCTTTTAAACACCAGAGTTGGAGTTTGCCAAATCAGCCCAATAGGATCACATCACCGCTCAACATCTGTCTCTGCGAGCCTCAGTACTTCGTTTTTTCACGACACACATGGTGTTCAGCGGAACACGTACGCAAAGTGGCCGGGTGTTTCTTTGAGGAACTCCTCACATGCAGGGTTAAAACCATGGCAAGCCTGCTTCAGCCGTATAAAATTAAAAGGCACTCGGATTGTGGCTGGGTGACGTCCTGGGGGGACCCAGTTTTGGCAGGGTCGCACCAAAAAAACACCCTGTTTGGCAGGGTAAACAAGGTAAAACACCCTGCAAAAGGGTGCCTTAGTTGGGAAGCAACCCTTTACGATCGATTTTGCCAAATTTTATTTTCATATTTATTTTCATTTTTTTAATAAAATATGAAAATAAATTTCGTAAACTACAGTACCCTTCCCAAACTGTTGAGTAGTTTTGAATACTGTTCACAGTATATTAAACCATGTGATATTTCTTTGTCAGTGGTTTTGTGCAAATATGCTATACTGTTTGTATTAATATCTTTTACTATTAAATGATGTTATGGTAATGATAAATAGATGCATGATGCATAAATAATGCTATAGGATGCATAATATTTAATATATTGCCATGAATCATGATGCACATGCTGTCAAACTTATATCTGCTATGGTCTATTTAGGCTGTAGTGGGGTAGCTCTTAGTGGGTACAACACTTATGTGTTTCCTATATGTACCCATCTCATTTCTGGTTCATTCATTCTTTCGTCTATCATTCTCACATGGTATAGAGCTAGTTTCGAGATTTTTTAAAAAGGGCCCACCACTGAAATTTCTCCCCTGCCTACTTGCCGCACGCTTCGCGCCTTCCCTTCGAGGCCCGTCACGGCCCCTGCGCCCGCCCTTAGAGCCTGCGCCCGCCCTGTAAGGCCCCTTAAGGCCTCGTTAGGCCCCGTAAGGCCCCTTTAGGCCCCGTTTAGGGCGCGGTTTAAGGCCCCGTACGGCCCCGTTATGCCCCGTAAGGCCCCGTAAGGCCCCGTCAGGCCCCGTTCGGCCCCGTTTAAGGCCCCGTTAGGCCCCGACAGGCCCCGTTAGAGGCCCTGTACGGCCCCGTCAGGCCCCGTTAGAGGCCCCGTACGGCCCCGTCAGGCCCCATTTGGCCCCGTTTAAGGCCCCGTAAGGTCCGTCAAGCCCCGTTAGAGGCCCCGTCAGGCTCCTTCAGGCCCAGTTAGAGGCCCCGTAAGGCCCCGTTAGAGGCCCCGTAAGGCCCGTCAGGCCCCGTTATAGGCCCCGTCAGGCCCCGTTATAGGCCCCGCACGGCCCCGTTATCGGCCCCGTACGGCCCCGTTATAGGCCCCGTCAGGCCCCGTTATAGGCCCCGTACGGCCCCGTTATAGGCCCCGTCAGGCCCCGTTATAGGCCCCGTTCGGCCCCGTTATAGGCCTCGTCAGGCCCCGTTATAGGCCCCGTTCGGCCCAGTCAGGCCCCGTTAGAGGCCCCTTCAGGCCCAGCCGGCCCTGCTGCGGCCCTGTCGCAGCTCTTCCCCGACGCTGCCCCGGCCCTGCTCCTGAACTGCCCCGGCCCTGCTTCTGCACTGCCCCGGCCCTGCTCCTGACCTGCCCCTGAACTGCCCCGGCCCTGGCCCGGCTCTGCCCAGGCCCTGCCCCGGCCCTGCCCCGGCTCTGCCCCGGCCCTGCCCCTGAACTACCCCGGCCCTGCTTCTGCACTGCCCCGGCCCTGCTCCTGAACTGCCCCGGCTCTGCCCCGGCCCTGCCCCGGCCCTGCCCCTGAACTGCCCCGGCCCTGCCCCTGAACTGCCCCGGCCCTGGCCCGGCTCTGCCCTGGCCCTGCCCCGGCCCTGCTCCTGAACTGCCCCGGCCCTGCCCCGGCCCTGCCCCGGCCCTGCTCCTGAACTGCCCCGGCCCTGCCCCGGCCCTGCTCCTGAACTGCCCCGGCCCTGCCCCGGCCCTGCTCCTGAACTGCCCCGGCCCTGCCCCGGCCCTGCTCCTGAACTGCCCCGGCCCTGCCCTGGCCCTGCTCCTGGACTGCCCCGGCCCTACCCCGGCCCTGCCCCAGCCTCTCCCCTGGTAAGAGCGCCGTGCTGCCGAGCCACACCGCCCTGCCGAGCTGCGCCGCCCTACCTAGCCTGCTTAGCCGAGTTCCACTGCTGCTACTGCTAGCCTGCTGCTTCTCCTGTCATGGCTAGTCTCAATGTTCTTACCTTTGATGCTGAGGGACGAGCTGTTGACTTTGAGGTCTGGCTAGATGATCTGCAGCTTTTCCTACAGTGCGATAGCAAGGATGGTCTCTCACTGTTCGATCTCACTTCTGGCGCCTCTACTGCCCCTACTGCTGATGCTGACAGTACTGTTCGCTCGCAGTGGCTCAGCGAGATGCTGCTGCTCGTCTTGCTGTGCGCAACCACCTGCCGTCTACTGAGCGCGCGCACTTTAGTCAGTCCAAGAGTGCTAGGGCTCTGTACGACGCTGTAGTTGCACGCTACTCCTCCCCTACCACTGCTGCCCTCAGCCGCCTCATGCTGCCGTACCTTTTTCCTGACCTTGCCACCTTTTCCACAGTTGCTGACCTAGTTGCTCACCTCCGCACTAGTGACGCTCGCTACCGCGCTGCCCTTCCCACTGAGTTTCTTCCCACGAACTCCCCCCCCATGTACATCACCCTTTACTACCTAGTCACCCGCCTCCCTGACTCTCTCTCCTCAGTCAGGGATCACTTTCTCTCCCTTTGCCCTACCGAGCTGACTGTCGACTTGCTAGAGGAGCGCCTTGCTGCAGCTGAGAAGAGTATCTTAGCTGTTAGTGCTTCTCGCGGTGACCGTCGCACCCCCTTCTTTGAGGGGTGTTCCCCTGTCCCCCTTCTCCCCTCTGTTGCCTCTGCTGCTGCTGTCGACCTCGTTGGCACTGAGGAGGTCGGCGCTGCGTCTGCCCCTAGTGGGCGACGCCGCACTGGCAAGGGCAAGGGAAGCAGGGGTGGTGGTGGGGGCAGTGGAGGCAGCGGTGGAGGAGGTGGAGGAGGTGGAGGAGGTGGAAGTGGTGGTGGGGGTGGTTCCGGGAGTGGGGGCGTAGGTGGCGGCAGTGGCGGCCGTGGCGGCGGTGGTGGAGGAGGTGGCGGCGGCGGCGGCGGTGGTGGAGGTAGCGGAGGTGGTGCTGGTCGCGGTGCGGCCACGCAGCGTGGAGGCCTTGGTGGCAGCCAGCGTCCGCAGCAGCTGCGCACCCGTGAGACCCCGTCTGTTCAGCAGCTTCGTGAGTGGTACGCTGGACGTGGGAGGTCTGGGGGTGCAGGTCCCTGCGCGTACGTTCTTCGCACCGGCACTCGTAGTGGGGAGGTGTGTGGTCTCCCACACACCACGCAGCGCTGCTTTGGCCGCTTGACTGACGCTTGGCGTACCCAGTTTCCTGACGCTGTTGAGCTTCCTCGTTGGCATGATCTGCTTCTTCAGAATGTGCCTATCTTTGATCTAGCTTTTGATGCTATCCTTGCTGCCATGTATGC